GCCTAACTAGCCAGGTGTAGACATGCACTTAAAGACACTGTCAGAGACCAGACTCGCGCAGCATTACCGGTGGTGCCAAATTAATGAAAGCCGTGTTCAGTCCTGGAGGCCCCCTCACACTGAGAAGTTTATCTCCCTCCCTCAACCCCTCATTTGCATCTTGCTAATTGATAATGTACCAACTGGTATTGCTGCTGCTGCTGCTGCTGCTGCTGCTGCTGCTCCTGCTGCTGCTGCTTGTCCTCCTGCTGCTGCTGCTGCTGCTCCTGCTGCTGCTCCTGCTTGTCCTGCTGCTGCTGCTGCTTGTCCTCCTGCTGCTGAAGATATTGCTTTGGTTACCTGCTGCTGCTGCTACTGCGACATCTGCTTTTATTTTGATGGTAATGTATGTGCTTTTTACAGATGTTGTTGCGTGGGTGTTGCTGTTGTGGGTGTTGCTGTTGTGCGTGTTGCTACTTGTGTGTGTGTTGCGTGTTTTGCTGTGAGTGCTGTAAATATTGCCGTGCAGAGAGCTTGGTGAATTTCTGGCATCAAAGTAACTCCACGGAGAGGGCAAGTAGCGCCATCACAGTGGGAACACTGTGTTGCTGGCCAGCTCCCCTCACCAGCTGGGGGTCACCATCCACCAGCTGGGGGTCACCATCCACCAGCTGGGGTCACCATCCACCAGCTGGAGGTCACCATCCACCAGTTGGGGGTCACCATCCACCAGCTGCGTTAACTGATAACCATTCACTCCCTCCAGGAAGGGAGTGAATAGTTATCACCCCATCCCACCGTCCCATCCCATATCCTTATCCTGATCCCATCCAAGTGTTATATATAGTCGTAATGGCTTGGCGCTTCCCCCCTGATAATTCCCTTCCCTTCTCCAGAAAATAGGAGGTAGGAATTTCAGCCGGATATATGTAGGGAAGTTCGTGTATTGTGAGGGATTGTATTCAGTAGGATTGTATTCAATAGGATTGTATTGTTCGTGTATTTTGTTTCATTTACACGGGAGGTTATAGGAACAGGGGAATTTTGTTTCGTCTTTATAAAATAGAAAGTTCACAATAAGGGAAATTCGACTCCAACGTACATACAATCATCAAACAATTACAGAGAAAATAAGCATCTAACGTAACGGAATGAACAACATCATTGAAGAAATGAGAATTATACACAACACATTGCTAGAACAAAATTATACAGACGCTAAGCAAGAAAATGAGGACACGTCTCTGAACCTTGCAACATGATACACACACACACACACACACACACACACACACACACACACACACACACACACAAAGTGCCCCAAATACACCAGCGGGATATAAATTCACAGATAATTGAAATAGAATACTCAATGTAACGTGAGACACCACCCAACAAAAACAGGAAAGAACAGACATCCACCACACGGGCAACAAACATAACACAATTGAACAAAGAGAACACATTAAGTCTCAAACACACACACACATAAATTACAAGATTATACGACATACACACAAGTCTAGTCGATGCCTCAACCCAAGGAGCAATATAAAATCGACTTGAGAGTGGTCCAGGACGGACCGAAACGTCGTCGTCCCTTCACCTTCTAGTGTGTGGTCTGGTCAACAATATAAACCACTAAAGTCAACCACAGAAACATCCATAAACCCTTGAACACCACCCAAGCAGGAAAGCAACAGGACAGAACGACATACGCAGGTGTGCACACACACACACACACACACACACACACACACACACACACACACACACACACACACACACACACACACACACACACACACACACACACACAAACCTACACCTCGCAAGCACACGCGACAAAGGCCACCGTAAATCGCCTATCAAGGACCCTCGGAAACTACCCCCACACCCCCCACATAATGTAGCACATCCGACCCTTCAGGAACTCCAAGAGTTGAGCCACGTCGTACCTCTCCAACCTACCAGCCCACAAACAAAATTTGTAATCCGTAATCAAAACATCCAAAGTGTTCCGAATTTTCCAGTTTCTCACTGGAAACGACAGGAAGAAAAACCCTTACCTAATCCACCCGTAAATCAGTACCACAGTAGGCAGCTTTGGTGCCCAGAACTCAGTCCACCAAACATGAGACCCGTCGACAGAAGTGTAAAAAATATGCAATTGTGACTCTCTCTCTTGACAATGTGCACAACAGTCCGAAACCACAATACCCAACATAAACGGGCATTGGTAGGAAGGATCTCGTGGAGGAACCGGAACATCAACTCCCGCTGTTTGGGGGCGAGATGCGACCCCCTCAGAGCCACCTAAACCACCCAAACAATGAATCTCAAGTCACCAGGTTAGGGAAGAGCCTCACAATGCCAAGAGTCTGTGACTCAGCCAACCGCATGTGTTCGAAACAAAACTGAACCACCACCTGGAAATCAGACCCAATAATATCCCAACATGACACACACAACTCCGATGGCAGCCCATCAGACCCTTGCACCTTAGCATTCCTCAAAGACCAAACCACATCCCTAATCTCTGTACGACCAACCTCACCTTCCAGAACCGAACAGTCCAACGACGACAATCCAGAACAAAACTCAAGAAAAAACAATACCCAAGAAAAAATCCTCCAATCCCCGATCCCCCTCCACCCTCCTATAAAGATCT